GGAGCGCACAAGTAAGCTTTGGTGGAGGAAAAACGGTTAAGAAGCAAGCAAATGGCCATAAAGCTTACTTACCAAAGGGGTTGCCTATAACCCAGAAGGGTTGCCCCTAACACTTGAAATGGGTTTCGGATTGCTTCATTGCCCTGCTTTAAATGGGCCAGGGCCCAGGGTTGCTGAGGTTTTTTGGGGGGTGGGGGGGAGGGGAGAGTCAAGAAGTAAGCCTTCCCCAAAATGTTGACAAATCAGAATGTCACCGAGGTTGCTTTTTTTTACCCAGCCAATCCAGTCACATTAGTAAGCTTGAGGCCATCATAGGCCTGCATCCATGCACTTCCTTAATTCTTCACACGTTTGCGGAGTTCCTGGTCTATGTCCAAGCGAGCCCTTTTCAGCTTTGCTGTGGGCACCCTGGAGAAATCCGGCCAAGTTGATCCTTTGCTGTCCATCTTGTCACATGCTGCTTTGACATCTTTCAGAGTCAGACGTCCATATTTCAGGTGGACTTTCACAGAACCAGAGGCGTGTCGGGCAAATTTCATCGAAAGCGCTGTGGACATGCCATCTCCGAGCAACTCTGTAATCAATGTTGCCCGGCCACTGTGCGGGCGAAGCTTTGCCACCTCTGGCCCCCACTTTTGGCCCTGGTTTCGTAAATGCTCGAGAAATCTCGGAGCCAGTCGCTTTACCTGGGCATAGACTGCATGATAATGCAAGTGTGGCTGTTTGGCTTCTTTGCGACTGCGGAAAAGAAATCCTTCAGATGGGATTTCGTACTTATCTTGCCTTGTGATTGTCTTCTTGCGGCCCTTTCCGTGCTTGTGCTTCTTTGTGCGTTCTACAGTGTAACCAGACTTGAAGACTGATTTCAGCCAGCACATATGCTTCTTGCGGCAGTAGACCTCCCCCGGAGATTTCCGGTTCCCCTGTGTCTCGCCAGTGACAACAAGCTTTGGTATGTCACCATGGAAACTAAAGTCACTTCTCTTCAAAGTGAGAGCCTCCGAACATCGCAAGCCAAACATGTAGGTCAAGCTGAGTATCATGGCCATGCGCGCACCAGCTTCCTGCCCAACAAATTTGATCCACTGAGCCCATGTGCTCACTGACAGGGCCGGCGCCTGTCCCAGCTTTATGCCCTTGCGCGACTTTTTCTGGCCAGCCATGGCAGTTGGAAGGATGATGTAGGACTAATATCTACCTAGTTCTATGTGTATGTGTATGTCATACTGTTTGTGTGTCTGTTTGTTCTATTTCCATGTCAGATTCTGCTGAGCTGCTCCACTTTTTTTTGCTGGCCGACAAGAGACCTAATGCCAGGCATGTTCAGGAAGTGTATGCAATGGGGTAAACATAGGCAACGGTTCTAGCAACACATACTGGCATGTCCGGGCCAACCAGGGGTCCCAAAGCCAGCCTCCAGGAGCAGGATTTGCAGCGCAGTGCGGCAAATGGCCAATGCCTCATTGAGTGGTGAGAGTGCTTCCCAAGAAAGGCTAGCTTGCGGTGCTTCAGGGATCTCAGGTTTAGGGGGCCTCCGACAGGCCACTTAAGAGTCAGGGAGTGCTTGCAGACAGTGCATACATTTGTGACTCTCTAGTGGTTGCTTAAGGTCGCCCAAGATCTTGGCCACTTGGCAGCGCGGCTCCCCAGTCAGGCCTTAGCAGAACACAAGCTAAATTAGGGGCAGGGTTTAGCTTGTAGTTGGTTTAGGGTTGGGGTTAGGGTTGGGGTTTAGGGTTTAGGGTTTAGGGTGTGCCGCAAGGCGCAGCTTGAGAAGTAATATTCGGCAGGCATTTGAGCTGAAAGGCTCGGCCTTGAAACCCTTAGATTTTAGGGTTTAGGGTTTCGTGTTCCAAAAAAGCAGGTTTTAACTGCATAAGGCCAGTCGGGGATTTGCCTTGTTTCTGGTTCATGTAGCTGGTGCCCACAGGAAAAAGAAGGGCCCCTAGCCTGGTACCCTAGTCCCAACCTGAAGCCCCTAATGGAGCAGCAACACAGCAGGGACCACTGACTACCTTGTGTGCGGGGCGTGCGGGCACACCTCCACTGCCTTCGTGCCGAAGTCAAGCACCACCGCATCAGCAGCCCTCCCCGAACGCAGCCTTGGCCTACGCAGCTGGCGGCTTGACCAGTTTACTTCGATTCGGCAAGCCTGGAACTTGGCCTGCGCTACCCACCGGGGTGCCGCCGACCCCAATGCAGGCGTTGCGCACGTATGTGCTGGCGGCTTGAAGAACGCTCCGCGACATCGTGGCCGACATCATCATGACACACCCTAAACCCTAAACCCTAAACCCCAAACCCCAAACCCCAAACCCCAAACCCTAAACCCTAAACCCTAAACCCTAAACCCTAAACCCTAAGCCCTAAGCCCTAAACCCTAAACCCTAAACCTTAAGTAAGGGCAGGATTTTTTTAGGGTTTTGGGTTTCCTTAGGCAAGCAGTTGAGGCAATAGCTGAAAGCCACATTTAACCCGGGCCAGGTGTGTTGTTTGGGCTTAGGCTTGGGTTGGCTTTGGCCTTTGCGGCTTCTTAGGGCAAACCCTAATTAAATATGTTGATGTGGCAAACATGAGGTAGATTCCCGGGCCTTTAGTGGTGTCCAATCTCTCAGGCATGACCAGCTCCCAACCGGATGGCTCGACAGATGGATGGTCGAGTTGGACGATCAGGCCCTTCTGTGTTACCCTGGTGTCCCCTTCACTTCGGTTTAGGACCCTAAATGGCCCTCTCCCTACATAATAAACCCTATATAATAATTCAGCGAATCTCCATCGTCTATTGTTTAATGCCAATCCCCCAAAGACATCTCAAAGCCTTGAACAATGAGACCTTGTTCCCCCCGACATGAACCACCCTAAACCCTAAACCCGAACCCTAAACCCTAAACACCAAACCCTAAACCCTCAAGTCCGAACGTTCTGCGGCTGCCGGAACTTTTGGGTATTCGCACTCCAGCCTCCGGGGGAGCTGGGACCCTCAGCCGCGGTTTGGTCGGACGTCAACACGCCGTCGTCCCCATCCAGAACGATTTGCCCAGTGCGGAGCTGCACTCGGGGCAAGACCTGGGATTTCACTTCTGAAACCCATCTCGGGTCACATCTTCGCCGACAGCGACCTCCAGAGTTCACAGTCGAGATGCTGACAGTGGTTCTCGCGTAGAGCTCACCTTCCCCTGTGCCACTGCTGCTTCTTTCTCTCTGGAATCTCTTTGCGAATCGGAACACTGCTGCTGCTCCTGATAAGCCCCACCCTAAGTATAGGCTGCAGGTTAGGGGGTTTAGGGTTTAGGGGGGGGGTGGGCCCGATCTGAATCGGAATTCGGCTAGGCTGGTTGTTGTGGTTTAGGAGTCCGGGTTCGATAAAGAACCAACTTCGGTTACCCTAAGATGCTTCTCTAGGTTGCTACTCTTGTTCTCCGTGTGTGCACTGGGTTCCTTCAGAACATCAGTGGTTCAGGAATTTGCTGGTAGCCTGGGGTAGCCACGATGGAAAGCAATGTAGTGGTTGAGATTTGGTATTCTGAAGCTTGCAAGCCTAAGTACATGAAGCACTATCAATGAAGCCGGAGCCAGCCTAAGCTAAAAGACAATGAAGCCGGAGCCAGCCTAAGCTAAAATACACTCCCAACGACCCTACAGTAAATTTGAGCACAAGAACACAAAGATTGTGAACCTACGTTCGGCCATCGATCTTCCCAGGCGCTCTGTGGATCGAGGGCTCCCAGGCGCTTCCCACCACGAGCCCCTAATTCCTGAAACCCTGTACCCTTCAGCAGAAAGCCTAGATAAACTCAGTAGCCTGCAGGGTTTTAGGGTTTGACCTGCACACAGTAATGTGCTGAAATCCGAGACACACACTCACTGGCATTCCCCAAGCCCGAGCTACCCTAACCCCCTCAATGGTTCATGCAGCCTACTCCCCCAGCCGAATTATTGCGTTGGTTCCTGAATAAGATACGTTTAGGCTCTTCTGGTGAGTTTATGTTAACAACAAGTGCGGGCATGTTGCACATCAGTGAAAGGTGAATAAGGCCTGGTTTGCTTGGTTGCATCGTCGCGTATGACACAGGGGCTCGAGCAACAGCTCAACCAGGGGTGTCCACAAATTGCAACATGTTCCAACCATAGTGCTATGACCCTTCCTGCTGCCACCAGGCCACTCCACTTGGCTGCTTTCAGTGTTCTGTTACATTTTTTACCTCGCTCTAGAACCTAGACTTCCTCAGCCATGTCCGCTGACAATGGGGAGACAGTGAGCATGGTGTTGCAGTATGCAACTGTGAAGTCAAGGATTCCGAGGCTGTTCCAGCCTAATTTCGGACTGCCTCTCATGGGGACGGACAGACCAGACAAATCCCGCATGGAGAGAGTCAAGTGCTGTGATCGAGGCTCCCTGATCGCTTCTTTGTCAACTGGATCTGCCAAGGTGAGTTTCCATCCGCCAAATCACTGTCGCCTCCGATTCACAGTTTTGCAGACCATGATGACCGACAAAGGGCGGCAGTGGCTTCTGTCCCACCGCAGCTCGAAGCACACAATTTTTGTGGAGGAGGTGCTGCAGATTATCATGACACTTGACTTGCAACAGGGTGCCGACCGCAAGGTGCAGATTTCCATGAGCCTCATGTCCGGCCAGGTCATTTCGACTGTGGAAGCAGAACATTCCATGCGACTTTATGAGCTGCGTAGAGCCTTGTTCCAGCATGTTTCTGCATTCAGCCGATTGGAGAAGGAAACCATGAAGTTTTGCACGACCAGCGGTCGTATGGTTCACCTGCGTGGATCGGCCACTGTGCATAGTCTCTTAGTGAACCCGCTCAAGAGACCTCGTGCGAACTGACTTTGGCTGTCAAGAGGGGCTCAGAAAGTGGGGCTAACAAACACTGCTTTCACACATGCAGACACCAGATATTGACAGATGATATGTAGTGTTGTGACATTTCTCGCTGCATTGCTGGCAGAGTGCAAGAGATATTGACAGATGTGCTAGTCTTGTGATGTTGCAAGTTGCATCGCTGGCAGGGTTTTGTTGCTCAAGTTGCTTTGTGGTTTCACCTGTTGGCAGCATGATTGCTGAAGGGGTCATGTCGGCCTTTATGACCGGCAAACGGCCTTTGGACGAGGCTGAAGAACCTGCAGCTGCTTACAAGGCACCGAAGAAGCTAGCCCCGAGAAGCATCAGGTTCACTATGATGCAGGAGGAGGCATCAGGTGAGTCGAGTCCGGAGCCACTGTCTCCGAGCCCTGAAAAGTTATCGGCGGTGAACGACGATTTGTTCCAGGGCAGCAAGGTGAAGGAGTCCAAGTCCGACTTGTTAGAGGGTGAGGTGAAGAGCGATTGGTTCCAGGGCGGCGAGGTGACAGACTTGTTCGAGTGTCTGGACAAAGCCCTTGGGAGTGACCTCCCACTGTGCATTGAAGATGGCCCAGTGCAGCAGCTTTACAGTGGGCCAGTTGTCATGGGAGCCAAGGTCGCCTCCCCACAGGGTTCTTTGCAAGCAGCCTCACCCCACCAGGGTTCTTCGGCTGCACCCGCACCTTTGGCTGCACCCGCACCTTTGGCTTTGCAAGCAGCCTCACCCGACCAGGGTTCTTCGGCTGCACCCGCACCTTTGGCTGCACCCGCACCTTTGGCTTTGCAAGCAGCCTCACCCGACCAGGGTTCTTCGGCAGCAGCCTCACCCCAGCAGGGTTCTTCGGCAGCAGCCACACCTTCGGCTGCAACCGTTTCAGCTGTGGCAGTCTTGAAGGAGTTTCTGTCGGTTCCAGAGTCCGTGCAGAACTTCCACCAGAAGACACTTTGCAAGATTCAGCCACTTTTTTTCTGGGTTTAAGTATTCAGGCTTAGGGTGTTTTGCGCCGTACCTGATAGCCACTTCCCCCCCCCCCAAACCCCAGAACCTAAACTGTAAACCAAAATCCCTAAAGCTCATTCAAGGTGAGCTGCAAGAAGAAAGAATCCCTGAATGCTCGAAGCCCAAAGCAACACAACCAATTGCCAGTGCTGAGGAGCTGGACCGAGTACCCGAAGGACTGTTGCAGCATCCAGGTCTTGGTGCACAAGCGGGCCTTCTTCATCAACAAGGTTGCCAAGACTCACAAGGACAAGGCAGGAAGGATGTGCTCTACAGCAAAACCCTATCCCTAACTATACCCTAGCCCATAAGTCATAGCCCTGTATACCCTCTCGAGCATGTACAGCAAAACTCTGAACAGGTGAAGACCAATGCTTCCGGAGCCTACCATTTGGGTTGGGGGAAGTTTCTTGACCCTGTTTGAAGAGAAGCAAGCAAGCTAGCTTTGCAGCAAGTTTTTTTCTGCTTTTCAAGAACAGCTAAGGTACCAGAGCCTTCGAGAAGCTTGGGCGGAGGCAGTACGCCTGGGCAAGGAGTGAGGCTGATTTGATGGGCTTCCATTGGGGCAGCACCTGTGAGCGGCCGAAGAAATCTTTCCGAAGCTGTCAGTGAAAATGAGGGAACCTTAGATTTTAGAAGGGCTTAGGGTGCAGGGTTTGCAGGCTCTGTGCCGCAAGGCGTAGCCTGATAAGTAAGATCACACAGGCATCAGCCGCTCACTCGCTTGCTGAAAGCAGGTTGTACACAGCAGAGGCAGCAGGGTATATAGCCGATCCCTAGCAGGGCCGACTAAGTCATGTATAAGCACAAGTTGAGACCTTGTATGTCCCTCTGGCTGTGCATGCAGGGTTAAAGCTGCCCTGTGATCCGATGAGGGGTTCTGTTGTGAAAATGCATTCCGAAGAGAGAAAAGATTGCCCTAGGCAAGGCTCAGCCTGAGAGTAAGATCACACAGGCATTGTGCTGAGAGGTTCACCTTCATACTGGATGGATCAAAGGTCACAACAGAAGCTCTTGGCCTCGTAGGGCTTGGGTGTTGAGCCGCAAGGCTCAGCTTGAGAAGTAAGGTTAGGCTGGTTTATGCTGAACGGCTCTGGAAATCTGAGCCGAAGGGTAGGGTCGATTGCCGTGCTTACTGCCACAACCAGAAGATAGGCTGGATTCAAAGACAAGGCAGTGCTGAAGTCAAGAGACTTCACTAGTTTCACGGTCCTGCCGCCACAGCATGCCCTGGACCGGCACCGGTTTGACGTGCGACAAGTGTGGCTGGGTTACGAAGGGTAGGGAGCAAAAAGGCGGCGCTGTGCATAGAGTTCCTTGGCTACAGTGTCATGCAATAACCGGTAACCAGACATGTATATAGTAATATATAATGCGGCTTGCAACATGTCGTTGAGAGCAGTCCTCGTTCCCCTGCCAGGTGCCAGACCAACCATGGAAACGGCCACACCTGTGACCCCGGCAACTTTGGTCTGGATATGGAGCGGTGCAGGGCGCTGAAATCCGAATGGTGGCAGCCTCCGTCGAGTCCCCCGTTGGATTTGCAGTTAGGACAGTTAGGAAGGCCCCACCACCGATGCCTCCAACGGATGATCTGCCCACGGCCTCGTCAGGCTCGTCAGGGGCGGATTTCCAAAGGCTCGAGATGGAGAGCAAGATTGACAAGCTAGACCGCAAAGTTGACCGTCTGATCGAACTGGTCGGCCGCTTGGAGATTCAGCAAGGGTAAGGAGTTCAAAAGGTCGAGAGCAAGATCGAAGCGGCTGCTGTAACAGCACAGGGGTGTTGTACATATATACAGACTTGGAAGCGAGGGCAAGCAGCACCGCGGGCCGGAACCTTAGAACATCCCCGGCCCTTTAAAGAAAGACCTGAAGACACAAGACCGCCCAGGCTCCGCTGTCTGGCAGTGGTGGTGGTGGTGGTGTGTCCGGGGCCTGTGGCGTCATGCAAGTGCCCTGCCGGTTTTAGTCCCCAGCCCTTCTGGTGCAGTGTGAACTAACTCAGCTGAAGAGGCAATGATGTTGAGCAGCTGTGTGCTCAAGTGAAAAGCCTTCACTAGTGTCACGGTCCTGCCACCACACCATGCCATGGTCCGGCACCGGGTTGCAGTGCGACTTGTGTGGCTGGGTTACGAAGGGGAGGGTCGATTCCCGTGCTGAGTGCCATGCCCTCAAGATAGGCTGGATTCAGCAAAAAGGCGGGATGACCCTTTGCATCGAGTTCCTTGGCTACAGTTTCATGCAATAACCGGTATCCAGACATGTATATAGTAATATATATATATATATATATATGCGGCTTGCAACATGTCGTTGAGAGCAGTCCTCGTTCCCCTGCCAGGTGCCAGACCAACCATGGGAACGGCCACACCTATGACCCCGGCAACTTTGGTTTGGATTTTGATGCGTGCAGGGCGCTGAAATCCCAATGGTGGCAGCCTCCGCCGAGTCCCCCAAACAGCACACCAGGGCCCAGCGTTGCTGCAGGGGCGAGCGTTGCTGCAGGGCCGAGCGTTGCTGCAGGGCCGAGCGGCCCAAGGACAGTTGTCAGGACGAAGGCCCCGCCACCGAGTCCTCCAACGGATAATGGTCCCACAGCCTCGACCTCGTCAGGCTCAGCAGGGGCGACGGACGTCCGGAGGCTCGAGCAAAAGATCGACGAGCTGGACCGCAAAGTGGCCCATCTGATCGATCTGGTCAACCGTTTGGGGTTTCACCAAGGGTAAGCTGCGAAACAGAAGGAGGCCCTCTATTTTTGTATAGAGTATCGTGTTGTTGAACGAGCTCCCTGTACACACCAACCTTTTGGAGTTCGGCAGCAAGCAAGGAGGAAAAAAAAGCTACAGCCAGCGTTTCGAAGAAACATGTGCATGCCGGCAGCCAGTGAAATTCCATGTGATCGCTGTTTCGAGTGGTATATAGCCCTGCCTCGGCTCAGGACCGATCGTGTGACCTTGCTCCAGTTCCTCGCAAGTGACCCGAACGCTGCTTGCCATGTTTAGGGTCGGCCTAAACCTAAACCCTAAACCCTCAACCCTAAGCCCTAAACCTTGCACTCCTGGCACAATCCCCGGCCCTTTAAAGAAAGACCTGAAGACACAAGACCGCCCAGGCTCCGCTGTCTGGTGGTGGTGGTGGTGGTGTGGTGTCCGGGGCCTGTGGCGTCATGCAAGTGCCCTGCCGGTTTTAGTCCCCAGCCCTTTTGGCGCAGTGTGAACTAACTCAGCTGAAGAGGCAATGATGTTGAGCAGCTGCAACAGTGCTCAAGTCGAAAGACTTCACTAGTTTCACGGTCCTGCCGCCACCGCATGTAGAGGTTTGGACCATTACTCATGTGAACTTGTGATCAGAGAGCAAGCAAAATGTAGAAGCAAAAATAGCACAGGGTTTGCATGTCTCAGAATTTTAACAGTAGACAGTGAGCTAGTGATCATGGTCCGACGCAGAATTGTCACTTGCAGCAGCAGCAGCAGCGAGGAGGAGGACCGCGTGGATGGAGACATCGAGGAGGACGCAGTGGATGGCATTGATGCAGTCGACGAAATTTCTGGAGTGCCGAACCCTCGTCCCATCCACCCAATGGTGCCAAGGGCACCGGCGGCGCTTGGGCCTCCCCCGCCCACACCGTTCGCCCCTCCTGGCCCAGCAGCTGGCCCAGGACCAGTTCGAGGCCCTGCACCTGGCGGCCCTCCTCCACCGACTCTTGGCTTTCTGTTGGCTGGCTTTTGGGACTTCAACTCTTTTTTTTTGAACAAGGAACCTACAAGTTAAACTTTAAGGAGGGGTTCAGAAGTCCCCGACTCTTGGCTTTCTTCTGGCTGGATCTTGTGACTTAAACTGCAATAAGGAGCCTGAAAGTCAGACTTCTAGGAGGGGTTATAAGTCAGCCCAGGTTGTCAGGTGATTTTACAAGCCCAGGGTTTTTTTGTAGAAACTGCAATAAGGAGCCTGCAAGTTACACTTTGTTGGGGAGTCAGCCCAGGTTGTCAAGTCCTTTCACAAGCCCTGGGGGAATGGCAGCCCTGCCGGCAAGTGCAATTGCAGGTGTTTCGACTCTTGGCTTTCTTCTGGCGAGCTCTCTGGACTTGAGTTTTTGTTTTGGAGCCTAAAAAAAAAACTTTTAAGAGGGGTTCAGAAGTTCGTCAAGGACGACACGGCCCACACGGCCCGCAGCAAGGGCAGCCGGTCCAGCAGTCCCTCTGGGGCCTCCGACTCTTGGCTTTCTTCTGGCCAGCTCTCAGAACTTTATTTTTTGTTTTGGAGCCCGAAAAACACTTAAACTTTTTTAGGACGAGGATGACACGGCCCATGGCAACCGGTCCAGCAGTCCCTCTTGGGCCTCCTGCACCGACTCTTAGCTTTCTTCTCGCCAGCTCTTGGGACTTGATTTTTTTTTGGATCCTACAAAAACTTAAACTTTTTCGGAGGGGTTCAGAAGTTAGCCAAGGATGCCTGCCTCGACATTGCTTGGACCAGCGCCAGCCGGAGCAGCAGCTGGCCTGGCAGGACCTCCTGCACCGACTCTTGGCTTTCGTTTGGCCGCCTCTTGCGACTTTAACCGTTTTATTGAAGCTAAAAGTTGAAAGGGGTTCAGAAGTCAGCCAAGGACTCCTGCCTGGAGAGGGCCTGGACCAGTGGCTGCTGGAACGGGCCTGGCAGGGCCTCCACCGACTCTTGGCTACCTTTTTATTGAAACTAGTAACAAGGAGCCTAAAAGTTAACAGGGGTTCAGAAGTCAGCCAAGGATTCCTGTCTTCAAAGCGGCAGGGCCTCCTCCACCGACTCTTGGCTTCCTTGGGCTGGCTCTTGGGACTTCATATTCTTAAAAGTTAAACTTTTTGGAAGTGTGCAGCAGACAGCCAAGGACACCGGCCTGGACAGGGCCAGCACCAGGCCCTGGGGTATGGCAGGGTTTTCCACCTCGCTTTCGGCGGGTCATGTCTGGGCTGGGGCATAGCCAAGAAGGCCAAGACCAGGGCCAGGAGCGTTACTTGCATTTGTGTCATCCGTACCGGCTTTTTTGACTGACCAGGCCCTGGTGCGGTCCCAGGCCTAGCAAGAGGCCGGTTAGGGATTCCATCTCGCTATCGGCGGCTCCTTTGTGGGCTGCAGCGCGGCCAAGAAGGCCCAAACCAGGCTATGGCCCAGGAGCGTTTTTTAATGCTTTTGTGTCACCGGTACCAGCCATACGATAGCTGATGCTGAAGTGCGGAAAATTGTGTTGGACGCTGAGAGCCTTGGGCCGTTCGTTGGAAGCAAGGGAGTGAGGCTTAATTTCCTGACCAGGTTCTTGGGCAACTCACAGTGCGGCACTCATTCACGGTCGGAATGGATATGTGCTGCGCCCTTTGTTTGTTGTACGGCATTGCATTCACCTTACCTTGGCATTGCGTTCACTTTCCCTTGTCCTTGCTGTTTCAGGTTCCTGGACCCCTTGGCTACCCTGCAGAGCACGGCACTGAATCTTCACATGCCTGTTCAGAGATTGCAGAGCACGGCACTGAAGCTTCACATGCCTATTCAGCGATTTGCTCAGTTATCTCTTCGTCTTGCTTGCTTAAGGTCATCGCAGCTCCACCACCCAGCCGCGCCCCATACTGCTGTGCCATGTAGTCTTCCAAGATGTACCTTTGGGTTCAGCAGTTCATGGTTTCCGGTTGTTCATTTTCTTGTGATGTTTGAGTGTTTGGGCCCTGGGGTCATTAGGGTCATGTGCTGCTTCAGCCATTTCCCTTCAAGAAGAGCAGTCAGACATATATGTGTTGAGTGCAATTGTGTCATGTGCTAGTTCAGCCAGTCTCAATATATACAGTCAGACATTCAGGACTTTGTGTGGATATTTGTTGCTGAGAAGGGGAGCATAGTTGCCATGGATGCAGCTTTCAAGACTTTCATTTTTGATGAGATCAACCGGGTGCAGAATGACATTTGGTGGCACAGGCTGTAAGTGATATAAGGATTGCAAGGAATCATGCTTAGCTGAGGAACTCTTCGAGCAGAGGGCTTCCTTGCGGGATTACATCGAGCAGCTGCCCTGTCCAGCTGACCCAGTGGCAGAGATCGAGAGGATGACAGAAGCAGTGCTGGGACTTGTTCGAACAGATGCAGCATTGCTGCTGTCAGCGGTTGGCACGACACTGAACAACAATTCATGCAGACATGTCTGCTAGTTGCCTGAAACGATTGTCTTATCATGTCAGCTTTGTTTTGCCGATGTAAGGACAACAACAGTGCTGAACTGGCGCTTGGACAAAGCGTCTTGCTGGTCAGGTGAACCAGAGGCATGGAAGATCTGCGGCATCGATTCTTGTCTCAGACAGTCTAGTGAGGAGCAGAGGCATGGTTACATATACATTGTTCTTTCATGTTTGCTGAGGCAAGGTCGATGGCAACTTCTGGATGGATGCAAGGGGAGATGTTGTCCGTGCGGGAACAGCCGGCCTGCATGAGTGCCAAGCGGCTTCTCTTTGCTGACGGAGTCAAGAGAGGACTGGCAGCCGCCTGGCTGTACCTCGGCTGTATATATGTTGTTCATTGCGTGGGTATGATTCCAACATGGCCTGTGCGTGCGGTCATGCTGTCCAGCCGAACACACAGAGGGTATGAGGCTAACATGCCCTGTGCGCGCGGGCACTAAGAGTGCCCAGTCTCGTGGGCCATGTTGGCCGAAGCTCCAATCGGCGAAGTCCCATGAAACAGCTTCGGCCAAAAGTGCCCTGTGCGTGCGGGCACTCAGAGTGCCCAGTCTCACGGGGCATGTTAGCCTCATACCCTGCACACGCACGGCCAGAGTTCATGACCTTTGTGCATGTAACATGCAGGGTGCCCTGTGCGTGCGGGCACTGAGAGTGCCCGAACATCCGGGGCCCCAACACGCAGGGTGCCCTGTGCGTGCGGGCACTGAGAGTGCCCGAACATCTGGGGCCCCAACATGCAGGGTGCCCTGTGCGTGCGGGCACTGAGAGTGCCCGAACATCTGGGGCCCCAACATGCAGGGTGCCCTGTGCGTGCGGGCACTGAGAGTGCCCGAACATCTGGGGCCCCAACATGCAGGGTGCCCTGTGCGTGCGGGCACTGAGAGTGCCCGAACATCTGGGGCCCCAACATGGAGGGTGCCCTGCACGCACGGTCAAGGAAATCTTGGGCGCACGGTCAAGGAAATCTTGGGCGCACGGTCACATTGCCATGGCACACACACGATGAATCCCACCCTGTGTGCACCAGAGTCTTCACATCCAAGGTGGCACTTGCTTGGAAAGATGGCGGCTCAGTGTATCCCGGGCTACAAGTCGGAGTCTGCAAAGCAGCTGATTCTGCTTCTCTTGGCACTGCCGACAAGCTACTAGTTTCAGAGAGGCATGCAGCAAGCAGTGAAGCAATGGTATGTTGTCATCCAGGATGATCATGCAGCCCTTGTGATTCCAGGTTGGGATGTGGCAGAGGGCACTCATGAAGAGCTTCTCATCAGCTGTGCCTACCGGCAGAACACCCGTGGAGTCATGGTGCAGCCATTGACTGTGCTACAGTGGGTGAGCCTGACTCTGCTCACGCTCCACCCTGTGACTTTGCATAACTGAGTTACTGTTTCAGACCAAGGCATGTCCGAGTTCACACCTCATTCCTTTGCTCTCGCAGGCTGGTGTCGTTGAGGCAGATCTCTTTGAGTCGGACTTCGCAGACCGGAAGCCGTGGCTGGACTCTTTCAACAGAATCCTGGCCGGCTACAACGACAAGGTCGAGAATGAAGGAATCGAGGTCTTGCCGGCAAAGAAAAAACGAAAAAGAGCTGGAAGAGCCCCTGCCCAGTCAGCTGATGGCCAGACAGAAGGAACAGGTGACCAGGAGTCAGTGAAGTTGGGCACCTTGCGGCAGCAGGCCATCAAGAACATCCTCATGGGCTGGACAAAGAGGGCCTGGCTGCTTGCAAGCAGCCACATGTCATGGGCACAGGGCGCAACAAGTTCTGCCCTCAGCGACGCTGTGCTGACCTGGAAGTTCCTGTACACTGGCTCGGATACACCTCCAAGCTGGCGCCCGACTGACTGCCAGTCACTGGCTGCTCAACAGGCAAGGCCATGTAGAAATTCAAGTAATTGAAGCAGCTTTCCCTGCTAGCAGGCATTGGAGCTTGCAATGCGGATGGTGCCAACTGGCAGTGCCTTCTGTGCCACCGACTTCCTCAGTCCACTGGCCAAAGGGGAGTTTGAGCTCTTGATCGAGAAGATCATTACGACCTTTGAGAAGGACACTGCCAGCCTCGGTGCGACCCAGTCCCGCGCTGTGTGTCTCGAATTTGAAGAACATCATGTCTTGGCAAGTGCACGTGCTGTATGTCCTGTCTTGCTCGGTGACTGGTTTCCTGTATGTCCTGTCTTGCTCAGGCATCGGGCCGACAAAGAGAAGCTTGAAGTTTTCCGCCTGGTGGTTTGCCTGTGGTCTCGCAGCATGGAAGAGGTCTTGACAAAGGAGCCGGTGAACCCTAAGCCCGAAACCGACAAACCCTAATCTTCAAGAACCCCCTAAACCCCAGCCTCATTTTGTCGAAAGGACCTGGCTGCAGAGGACTTCCATGAAGTCAAGCAAGCCATTGTGAACGGCCAGGCCTTGGACAGCGCTGCTTCTTGTCTAACGTTTTGACTTTGGTTGGTAGTTTGAGAGTTGTCGGGCTTGTTGGACGTACTGCAAGAGCTCTGTAGTGATAGGTCAGGTTTCGATTGTTCGTTTAAGGGTTCACTTGTGCTCATGATGCTAATACTCAGCAATCCACGACCTAGACCGAGGTCAAGAACATGGCCAGTTCCTTCCCGCCTATCTTTCACCGGGCCATGATCCCCGACCTCAGGGCCCCGGAGGAGTTGAGACAAGGCGATGCCGATGCCGAGGAAGCTGCAGAGGATGCTGAAAACCAGGTCTGGCAGGCCAAGGTCACAGCACTCCGAGCCCAGCTGGAGGCAGACCAGAAAGCTGTGAAGAGCATGGCTGCCGGCCACAAGGTCTTGCGTGACCAGTCCCTTGGCTTAATAGTTTCTTATCCAGCCCAGCAGCCAGGCCGATCAAGGCAGCCTTGCTTGTGACTGCCAGGCTGGACTGGATGCGGCACCAACGCCGGAGCTTGGAGATCGAGCGTGCGACAACCCTGGTTGGCCTGTACACCGGCTGGTTCCATCCGGTGCTTAATTGCCGAAATTTGAGCGAAGCTGCGGCCTGCTACCAGGAAAAGGACTTTGCTACTTGACCAGCATAGAAGCATGTTTGACAGCTTTCCAGATTCCAGACCCAGCAATATGAGACTCAACATTTTGAGACTCAGGAGATGAAGGTGCCGCTGTGTCCGCCTCCAGCCACCGGGGCTGCGTTTATCTCAGAGGAGGCCAAGTTCAACCAGCTCACAGTGGTGCGGATTGACTTGAATGTCCCAGGGGCTTCTTGCTTGAAATATATTCTACCTGAGCAGAGCTTTCTTTTGAGTGGGCCATGCCATGTTGTGGTTGCAGACCAGAGGCCCGCAATGCCTTGATGCTGGACAAGCTCTTGTGCTGCAATCGGACTGGGCACTGACTCTTCATCCTTTCGAAAGCTATTATGTGAGTGCAAACAAGGTACCCGAGCCTTGCTGCCAGTGTGGCCAAGATCCGTGGAGCCGACAAAGTCCTCATCCTGGTGACCACACCGACCAGGTGCCTAGGGTGTGTTGTGAAGTGTATTTCGTGAAGTGTATTGTGGTTGTGTGACGAGGTCGAAGGAGGACAGCAACCAGGATCCCATTGAGGACGAGTGGGCCCTGGTCCAAAAGATGAAGAAGGAGAACTTTGTCAGCCTCACTGCCACCCAGGAGCCACATGACAGCTTCCTCTTAAGTTCAGTGTTCTGTCTTTATGTGTTCTTGTGAAGTTTCTCACAATTGGTCAGGAGTTGACAATTGAGGGGCACGACATCACCTCGTCGGACCCGTTTGTGCAGTACCGGATCTTCTTTTATGCCCCGTCGATCAAGAAGGCCTTGGAAACCAATATGTGGGGCAAGAGCTTGCTTGCAACTTGACTGCAGAATCCTGGCTTCTTGGGCATTGCTTGCTGTGCAGATAGTGACATTTATGACACATTGAGACCGTTGAGAGACAGCCTTACAACTTCCGAGGTGAGAACCTGCAAAGTGCCCGTTGCTGCTTTGCCCTCCCCGGGTGACATGGTGCACGTGATCAGTGCATCATCGAACTCGGAGACCGAAGTCTCCAGGCGTTCGGTCAAAAATTGTTGTTTGTGCCAAAAAACACACTTGTCACAGGTTCAGAAGCCTCGCCGTTGTCCGAGCCTCCCAACGTGGACCTGCTGTCTACGAAGCCCTGCTGGTGCAGTTGCTGGCCTCGTCGGCTGGCATCCAAAGCCAGGGCAACCAGAAGCCCGCCGGTTTCCTGAAGAAGGAAGACCTGGTGGACGTCCTGGATTGCCACCCGTTCGCAGGGGACATGGCATTGGGTGCCAGCCGACTGAGAATGGCTGGCAACCTCCCATGCCGTTTGCGCGTGTGGAACCTGGAGTTCACAGGGAGCCACTTGGAAAGCACTTGGAAGTAATGGTTTTTTTTGCAAACCAGAGTTCCCAAGAAACAGCATAGAAGCTCATGTTTGCCAGGGTTTCCAAGTTTCAGTACAGGCCAGGGCACAGCCTTTGCCATGAAAAGGTTGGCGCAAATGGTTGCGTCCAAATGGCTGAGCAAGCAGCTGCAGCTGTTCGAGCGCCAGGAATCCAGCAATGTCTTGAAGCCCGTGCTGCCGAGGATGGATGAGACCCTGACTCAAGCAGAGGAGCTGGAGCTAAAAAAGTATCCGGGAGTCCACGAGGCCTACCAGGGCTTGGGCAAGCTGAGTTTGCGAGTCCTGGCTGCTTGCTGCAGATTATGAGTGTATAGAGACAGAACAGAGAGAAACCAGCTTCAGAGGAAGGGAGACATAGCTGAGGTTCTGCGCGGCCATGTGACAATGCTGGACCCGGTGAAGGTCGCTGAGTTCCAAACTGGTCCTCCGAGTGTGCGGGCTGCAACTGTGCTGCAGCTGAGCCATTAATCCACAGATATCTATATATATATATATATACATACTTATTGCTCCTCCCTTTCCCTAATCCTGAGACCTCATCCTGAGGCGATCAAAGCCATGGAGGAGGAGCACTTG